AGGGAAGGGAATGGAGGGGAGGGGAGAGGAAGGGGAGGGGAGGGAAGGGAAGGGAAGAAAATAAAAGGCATCCAGAAAAGAAACAAGGAAGCAAAACTGTATTTGCAGAGAACAGATTGTCTATGTAGAAAAAAATCCCATGAAATCTACAAAAAACTTTAAAAATAAGCGGGTTTAGCAAGGTTGCAGGATATGAAATCAACAGACAAGAATCAACTGTGTAACTACATAATTATACTAGATACAATTGTGTATCTACTAACACTCAGAAACTGAAATTATAAAAACATTCCCATTTATAATAGCATCAAAAATATATTTGAGATAAATCTGAAAAATGTAAAAGATCTATACACTAAAAACTATAAACAATGCTGAGTGAAACTACAGAAGATCTAAATAAATGGTTACACCATGTTCATGAATTTTAAGACTCAATATTAAGTCAAAATTAAGTCAAATTGATCTGAAGATTCAATGACATTCTAATACATATTTCAGCAGGTATTTTTGTATTCAGCAGTAATTAAAAACTGATTCTAAAATTCATATGGAAATGCAAAGGGCACAGAATGGCCAAAACAAATTTTAAAAAAGGAGAAAAAAAGAGTATTATTTATTTCAAGACTTATTAACATATATATCAATAGGAAAAAACAAATAGAAAAAATATGTGGTCAATTAGTTTTTGACAAAATTGCAAAGTCAATTCAATGGAGAAAAGATAATCTTTTCCACAAATGGTGCTACAACAAGTAGATATCTATGCGAAAAAAATGAACTTGGATGCACACTCCAACATCATATGAGAAAATTAACACCAGATGGATCATGGACGTAAATGTAAAAACCTCAAACTATAAAATGTATAGAATAAGACAAGAAAAATATCTTTGTGACCTTGGGTTAGGCCAAGATTTCTTAGATACCACACCAAAAGCATAACCCATAATAGAAAACAAAAGATACAGCAGACTTCATCAAAATTAAGAACTTCAATTCTTTGAAAGATACTACTAAGAGAATGACAAGCCAAGCCAGTGACTGGGAGAGAATATGTGAAAATCACATTTGATAAAGGGTTTCCAGAATGCAATGAAAAATATGCAAAACCCAATAAAAAAGAAGCCTAATTTAAAAGATGGCAAATAGTTACCCCACCCTCTCACATATACAGGTGGCAAATCAACACATGAAAAGTTGTTCAACATCATTAGGCATTAGGAAAATACAAATTAAACAATTCAATGCCACCTCATACCTATTAGAATGTCTAAAAGACTGACTACAAAATGTCAGCACGGATGTGGAGTAAACGAAATTCTCAAACACTGCAGGTGGGAATGTAATAGGGTACAACCTCTTTGGAAAAGTTTGGCCATTTCATACATTTGCCATGTGACCTAGCCTGTTTCCTCATAACAGGAAAGAGAGCACATGTCCACATATAAACTTATACACAGATGTTCATAGCAGCTTTATTTGTAACATCCCCAAAGTGGAAACAAATACCCATCAGCAGGTGAACAGATAAACAGACTGTGGTACAATAACACAACGGAATACTACTCAGCAATGAGAAGGAATAAACTATTGACCACACGATAACATGAATGAAACATAAAGTAATTATGCTGAGTAAAAGCTGCCAGACAGAAAAAGGGTACATAATTTAAGACTCTATATACATAAAATTCTAGAAAATAGAAGTGGTTACCTGGGGACACATGAGAGAGACATTACAAGGGGGTACAAAGAAGATTTTGGAAGTGATGGATGGGTATGTTCTCTCCGAAGTGTGGTGATAGTTGTTGGACAGGTGTCTACATAGGTCAAAACTTACCCAACTATACCCTTTAAATATGTGCAGTTTACTGAATGTCAATTACACCTCCATAAAGCTGTTAAAAATGATATGCTCCTCTAAAGGCTATGTCTTGGGAAAAACTTTTTAGTAGCTTAGTTAATTGAACATACTATCTTCATTGATCTTCTCCACTGAATGAATCAGGATTTAAAAAGGTCCTCTGAATAGGCATTGCCATCAATTTATTATAACATTAGATCCATTAAAATCCAGAATCTTCCATTCATCTATACTGATCAAAATTAACAAGCTGACAAAGCTCCTCTTTGTGCAAACACAGCCCCAGTAGGAAAGTCACCAAAACAGAAAGTCCAATCAGCCTTTTCTGTAATCACACTGAAATCCACGAATACCTACAGATGAGACACAAAATGAATGTACACAAAATGCACATAAAGAATATGGCATTGAGAGTGCCACATAAGATGAATTTATCTGTAGAAATAATGTTTCGGAATTTACTTTGTATTTAATTTTTTTAGGTATATACAGATGATTAAAAAGGAGAAGTAGTTTCTGTTCTGAGCTGAAGGTAGGGATTGTATTACATAGATATACTCATGGGTAATATGGAAAGCAGAGTGTAAAATAAAAAAAAAACCTTTGTATTCCTTTCATGTAGTTTATAAACTAAGACCTTACTAATGATTTCTGACTGAAGAAAAATACAATTCCTCTTATCTATGTGACATAAAAATGAGATGTGGGGGGAGGGGCACCTGGGTGTGGCTCAGTCCCTTAAGCATCCAACTCTTGATTTCGGCTCAGGTCATGATCTCATGGTCCATGAGATTGCACCCTGCTTCGAGCTCAGAATTGACAACGTGGAGGCTGTTGAGGATTCTCTCTCCCTCCCTCTCTGCCCCTCCCCTGCTCATTCTCCCTCCCTCTCTCTCAAAATAAATAAACATTAAATTAAAAAAAATTTTTTTTAATGTTTATTTATTTTTGAGAGAGAACGTGCACAAGCATGAGAGGGGTAGAGAGACAGGGAGACCCAGAATCTGTAGGAGGCTCCAGCCTCTGAGCTGTCAGCACAGAGCTCAACGTGGGGCTCGAACCCATGAACAATGAAATCAGGACCTGAGCCGAAGTTGGCCGCTTAACCGGCCAAGCCACCCACGCATCCCAAACATTAAAAAAATTTTTTTAAAAAGAAAAGGGGGAGAGTCAGGCTCAGGGATGTGAAAGATATCATTCTCTGTTGACTCCTTTGGATTTAGAATTTACAAACCTACTTTTCTCTCTGCCATTACCAGGGAAAATAACCTAAACCCTGACAGTTAAAACTAATATACTTACCATGAAAATTTTCCAAACACAGTAAATAGAGAAAAAGTAACCCAGAAAATTGAAGTATTTTCCCTTAAATGTTTTGGAATATTCTATTCTCTCCTGAGGGAAAACAAATACAGAACATGGTTAGTCTCAGCAAAATGTAAACTTTATACTCAGCTAAAACATTCCTGCCTCTATGAATCACTGTTTTGCCAGAGCGAAAAACCCACATAGCTTCATAATATTAAAATAATACTAGGGGTTTGTGGCTCTTAGCTTGTTGCTGCCAAATCTTCTGCTCAGGTCCTGATCTGCTGTGGGTTCAGGAGTTCGAAAGTTCTCGCAGATCGGCTCAGGCAACTCAGAGCCTGGAGCCTGTTTCAGATTCTGTGTCTCCCTCTCTCTCTGACCCTCCCCCGTTCATGCTCTGTCTCTCCCTGTCTCAAAAATAAATAAACGTTAAAAAAAAAAACTTAAAAAAAAAAAATACTAGCGGGAAACATTTATTGAATGCTTACTTTAAGCACCAAACTGGGATAAACACCTTACATACATTATCTCCTTTAATTTTTATAACAACTCTTCTATGTTCTATTATCTTAATCTTACACAGGAGAAAACTGAGGCTTACGGGGTGGGGGGTGTGGTGTTAGGTAACTTGCCCAAGGTCGCACAGATAGTGAGTAGGGGAATTGAAGCTCAAGTCGGTCTTCAAAGCCTATGCTACCTCTATATTATGGCTATTCCAATGAAGTGATCCTTAAAAAGGATAAAAATAGTTTGAATGACCTTAGCTAATAGATTTTACATACTTAAGTTATATGGCATTTTTACATAAATTATATGGCATTTTAACTTGAGGAAAGTTAGGTCACTTCTTGGTCTGGATCCTTTAAAACATGGCTAGATCATGGCATCACTCTTGCAATATTATTAACCTCTATAGGAATAAAAAGCAACCAGAGGAGCTACCATCTTGACCCTGAATCAGTAGGGGGTGGTGTGAGCCATCTTCCCAGATGTTGAAAAAAACCTCGCCCGACTATCCCACTAATTTTTATTATTGAGAGCGTTCCATTAAGAATTTTGCTGGGGGGGGGGGGGCGCCTGGGTGGCGCAGTCGGTTGAGCGTCCGACTTCAGCCAGGTCAGGATCTCGCGGTCTGTGAGTTCGAGCCCCGCGTGAGGCTCTGGGCTGATGGCTCAGAGCCTGGAGCCTGTTTCCGATTCTGTGTCTCCCTCTCTCTCTGCCCCTCCCCCGTTCATGCTCTGTCTCTCTCTGTCCCAAAAATAAAACAAAACAAAACAAAACAAAAAAAACGTTGAAAAAAAAGAATTTTGCTAGGGGGTAGGAACAATGTCATGAAGAACAGACTCTTAATGCTTCATGGCTGATACTGGAGCTATGAGGTCTCTCTTGTGCTGGGTGGCCATAGAGGATGCTACAAAGCTATTTAGTCTTGTTCTGCCTTCAATCGTACTGATTAAAAACCACACTTCCGTTTCCTTTCTCTGTACCTTGGTAGCATACAGATCAGCTGTTTCCAGAAAAAGCTGCCTGCTTAGTTCTTCCAAAGCGTCCACTTCCTGTTGGATAAGAGTGAGATCTGGCACAAAATGGGCATCAAGGTTTAAATCACATAGAAGTTTCAAGAAATAGCAATGAAGAAATCATATGCTTTTGGTTTCTCCTAGCCTGGATATTCAATTTCCTGCTTCATGGCCAGCAGTACTCCTTCAGAGCAGTTTTCCCAACCTCCAACACAGGTGTGAAAAAGCTTCTCCCCCAAGAGCATTACCAAATACCTACCATTCAGTTTCTCACTAGTTCAAGTGGCTCAGACAGATGGTTTTGTTGTTGCTTTTCTTTAATTAGAGTAAGTCAAATGTAATCTTGAAATCTCAAATAGTTACATAGTAAAACTCCTATAATATAGCGTAATTTCCCCTTAAATTATCTGAATAAATATACTGTTAGGAAAGGGAATTAACACTACTGAGTTTAATACAGGCTGGGATTTATAAACATTTCCTTCTTTAGTTCTTTATAGACATTATCTTCTATTATTCTCATAAAGTCCCATGAGATAGGTGTTATTACCCATTTTGCAGATAAGGAAAGTAAAGCTCAGATATGCCTTCCTCCAAGGTCTGCTCTTTCCATTACACTATGCTACTTTCCAAGAACTCAGTGAGGGCCTGTTATTGTCTCCATTGAGGAAACAGGGGCTCAGAGAGGGAAATAATTTTAATACTGATACTTTTGCTGATTTGACTTACTATCACTAAGATAGCTTAAACCTAAACTTTAGCTTTTATGGACTTTAAAGTCATAAAAAATAGTGAAAATAGCCCAAGTCAGAAGATTCACTTTGGTCCAGAGCCTCCCTAACTCTGTGACTTTTTCTGCTAGAGGCAGGCATTCTACTGCCTTCTGCAGATACTGCCCCCTTCACCCCCTCCCTTTTTTTTTTTTAAACAAATGGAAGGTTGTGGCAATCCTGCATTGGACAAGTCTATGGGCACCATTTGTGTCTCTACCAAAATGTATCACATTTTGGTAATTTTCACCGTATTTCAAGCTTTTTCATTATTATTACATTTGTTATGGTGATTTGTGATCAGCGATTACCACTCACTTAAAGTTCAGGTAATGATTAGCATTTTTTACCGACAGTTTAAACTAAGGTATGTACATTTTTTTTTTAAGAATGCTATTGCACACTCAATAGGATACAGTATAGTGTGAACAAAACTTTTATATGTACTGGGAAACCGAAATATTCATCTGACTCACTTTATGGCGATATTTGCTTTATTGCGATGTTCTGGACCCACACCTGTAACATCTCTGAGGTATGCCTGTACTGCTCAAATCACCATAGTGCCCTTCGGCTCCTTCTTCAGTAGTGGCTGCTACTGGGATGGTCCAGGCCACCAAACAACAGGGTTTAACTAGTTACATGTCTGCCTCTCCCATGATTAGATGGTCAGCTTCTTGAGGAGAGAGGGTACATACTCTGTTCATCATTTTATCCCTCAGGACTCTGCCTGGAAATAGAAGATATGAAATAAATGTCTCCAGGGTAAATGAATTCAATGTAATCCTTTTTTTCTTCTCTCATGGTCATCCTGCCTTTCTTCATTCCAATTCTTACCTACATTTGACACCGGAAAGATATGTCACAATTTATAGCAAGGACAGATTACATCCTTTTCCTCCAATTGAAGCAAAAGGGAATTTGTACTTCCCTCAGGCTAGAGAAGGAAGGAGGAACATGCTATCTCACCCCAGCCCCCCCCCCCCTGCAATTTTGACTTAATAGCCTGGTAGACACAAAGAGATTTTGTTGCTCAATCTGGGAATCAAACACTGCAACCAACTGGGCCAAGAACAACCCATTAAACCCAATATCCTTGATCCTTCAAACTAAAAGTCAATGAAGATACAGTGCTGCTTAAAAGTTGTTTAGCAATACCGATCGCTTTAGAAATGGGCCCTTACCAGCTCATATACATACAAACCATCCATTTTCGGGAGTCACTGTGTTTTATGCTAGTTTTTCAGACCTGGGAAATAGAATAGTGTAGAGGAAAGAACTAAAAGGAGGTCCTATCTTTGCCACAAACCACAGTGTGACTTAACCTCTCTGGGTCTATTTTCTCATCTGTAAAATGGAAAGAGTGACTTTTAGAACTTCTTGAGCTCAAAGACAATGGTTTTATGATCTTTTAGGGGCACTGGAGAGATGACTCTGTATTTCCTAAGCCTAGCCCTGGCCAGCTGGACTCTGATGCACTCAGGTACCTTAGAGAAGACCACCCCAACACTACTTTTTTCTTCTGGCCTTGGTCCAGAGTTGAGAAAAAGAATCAGGCAGAAGGATAAAGGATACTTTCACTTCCTGGTGCTGAAGTGGTAACACTTTTTATCATTCCCCAGAATCCTGATGGTTTGTTATGCACCTCCCCCTTCTGGAACATAGTTCTCCGTGTCATTGCCATCCTGAAAGGAAAGAAAAGATAAAACCTCAGCAGGGAGCTTTAATCCTCATAGTCGGTATTCATCCACCTTCTAGTCTCATAACTGCCCTTTTCCCTTGCTGAGCTGTTCAGGAAAGAATGCAAACTCCGGAGTCCCGCTTTGCCACTACTCACAACCAAGGGGAAACTGTACACTCCCAAGAAGCAATGTGGCCTATGCAAAGGAGCACAGAATTTGGCGAAGGCAAGAAATGTGAAGATTGGCTCTGAGAAACTAGAAGACTGCAGAGTTTTCATTTCCTCATCTCTGGATGGGTGTGAAGATCACTGAAACCGTATATAAGAACTCATGCCGTCAACTACAAAACTCTATACTTATATTAGTAATTTTTACCATTATCATTTAAGGACAAAATAGTTAACACACCTGAAGGGCCAGGTTCAGGGTAAGAACTAAAAAGTTTCCTTCCTTTTTGAAAGCAGACAAAGAACAAAAACTAAATGCAGGAAAATCACATAAATCTAGTCTTTTTTTTTTTTTTTAAAGTTTATTTATTAATTTTGAGAGAGACAGAGACAGCATGAGTTGGGGAGGGGCAGAGAGAGAGGGACAGAGAGAGAGAATCCCAAGCAGGCTCCATGCTGGCAGCACAGAGCCTGATGCCGGGCTTGAACCCACAAAACCATGAGACCATGACCTGAGCCAAAACCAAGAGTCAGACACTTTAACCGACTGAGCCACCCAGGTGGCCCTCTGTGGGCTAGATTCTTTAAGACAGTGATTAAAGGTATTAACAATAAGAATATGAGGTATATTGGGTCATGCTGACTTAATTTTCTTCTCAAAATGACCTTTGCCTGGATATCGAGTGAATGGGATATAGCTCCAAGTTTTAGCTCTTTAATTACACATGTTCACTATAACTTAGCATTGTTGGAAGAGGTCATTAACAACCAAGAAGAGGCTCACTAGGAAGCTTTTGACTTGGGAGAACTAAGGGTTATGAGTCTTGCCATTTTCATAGGTGGAAAAGCTGGAGCAAGTGTATGAAGAAGGAAGAGGTTCTATCTTACTCATTTGAAAGTTCACTTCAGTTTACCGGGCCGGATTAAAAGAGAGGCAGTGGGGAGAGAGGGAGCACTGAGGCCCATTTCTATTGTCCTTAGTTTCGATGCCTACAGCACGACAAATGCAACGACTGGCTGTGGAGTGGAACTGGTTGATGATGTCAAGGTGACCGACACTGTATCGTGGCCCCGGAATAGGCAGGGAGGCACAATCACTGGAAGAAGTGAAGGCTGGCTGCACACAACAAGCGTGACCTTGTTTTAAATGACTCACTTTCACTTTTAATTTTATCACTTTAGCCTAAACCAATTTTGCTCTTTCTTACCATAAGTTGCAGATGAGAAATAAACATGTATTTTTAAAAGAAATGGTTAACATTATCAGACTTCCGGAGATGTGGTAAAAAAGAAAGAAATAGTACGAGATACTTGTACTTTTATCTTGGACTTTTTGTCACTATCATCAACACCACATCCTGTGACCATCATCATTATTGCCTCTTTATGATAAGGGCAGTCCAGAACGAGAAATTATTTTTTCATTATTAGCTGGATGCCATTAAAAAACCCCACAGTCTGGAAAAACATGTGCCTGGCTGAGGTTTGGTGGTAGTTTGCAAGTCAAGAGGCTGAAAAGTGTCTACTGTGGTTTAAATATACCATTCCACTATTCTTCTGGTACAAACTAGAAAGGTGGGAAGAAAGCAATTACTTTTCCTTTCTAATTAAACATTTTGAGGTATTGTAGATTCACATGTGGTATAAGAAATTACAGAGACATCCCACACACCCTTTCCCCAGCTTTCCCCAATGGAAACATCTTGCAAATTTATAGTACAATAGCACAACCAGGGTACTGACACTGATACGGTCAAGATACAGAATATTTCCATCACTACAAGGATCCCTCACAATGCCCTTGTACAGCCCACTTCCCCCCTCTCCCCTCTGACTCCTCTTGAACCACCTAGCAACCACAAATCTGTTTTCCGTTTCCATTCTGTCAGTTCAAAAATGTAATAGAAATAGAATCAGATAGTATGGAACCTTTGCAGATTGGCTTTTTTCACTCAGCATAATTTTCTGGAGATTCACCCAGGCTGTTTTAGCGACAGTTCATTCATTTCGTTCATTTTTATTACTCAGTAGTATTCTGTACATGTGCGACCCCGTAACCGTTCATTCACTAAAGGGTATCTGGGTTATTTCCAATTTGGGCCACTATGAATAAAACTGCTACAAACGTCAGTGTACAAGTTTTCTGTGAACCCAACTCTTTTCTCTGGCATGAATGCTGAGGAAGGCAGTTGCTGGGTTGTGTGGTTGTTGAAGGTTTAGTTTTTAAAGAAAGTGCTAAATGTGTTCCCGAATTACTATTCTACATTTTAACCAGCAATGTATGAGTAATCTAGCTTCTCTGCATCCTTGCTAGGATTTGGTGTCGCTTATTTATGTTAGCCATTCTAATACGTGTATAGTGGTATCTCATAGTTTTAATTGCATTTGTCTCACGTTTTAGGATGTTAAAACATCTTTCCACCTACTTCATAGCAATCTACATATGCTCTGCAATGAATATCTCCATGTCTTTTGCCTATTTTCTAATTGGACTTTTTTTTTAACTCTGTTTTGAAAGTTTTTATATTTTAGATACTAGTTTTTTCTCAGATCTGTGGTTTACAAATATTTCCCCCCAGTCTGTAATTTGTCTTTTCACCCTGAGCAGGGTCTTTCCCAGAGCAGAAGTTTGTGGTGTGGATGAAGTCTACTTTATCAATTTTTCCTTTTATATGTTTGGTGTCAAATCCATGAACTCTTTGCTTAGCCCTAGAGCCCTCCTAAGACTTCCTATGTTTCTTTCTCCCTAAGTTGTACAGTTGTACCGTTTGAGTTAATTGTTGTGTAAGATGTGAGATTTATATTGAGATTCATTTTTTAAAAAATCTATGAAGGGGTGCCTGGGTGGCTCAGTCAGTTAAGTGTCTGACTTTGGCTCAGGTCATGATCTTGTGGTTCCTGAGTTCAAGCCCCATGCTGGGCTCTGTGCTGACAGCTCAGAGCCTGGAGTCTGCTTCAGATTCTGTGTCTCCCTCTCTCTCTCTGCCCCTCCCCTGCTCTGTCTCTGTCTCTCTCTCAAAAATAAACATTAAAAAAATGTTTTTTAAATCTATGGATATCCGATTGCTCTAGAACTATTTGTTGAAAAAGCGATCTTTTCTCCGCGGAGGTGCTCTTGGATCTTTGTAAAAAAATTACTTGGGCATATTTGTGTTGGTTTATGTCTGAGTTTTCTGCTCTTTCCTATTGATATGTGTCTATACCTCTGCCAATACCACACAGTCTTGGTTAGCATAGCTAGATAATAAACTTTGAAATCAGACTGATTCTTTCCATTTTATTCTTTTTCAAAGTTGTTTTAGCTATTCTAAGTACTTTTGCCTTTCCATATAAAATCTACAAAAAAATCTTGTTGGGATATATGTTAAAGCTGTGTATCAGTGTGGAGAGAACTGACATATCTACTATTTTGAGTCTTCTAATCTATAAACTTGGTATGCCTCTCTATGTAGATATTTGATTTCTTTGATTAGCATTTTATAGTTTTCAGCATGTAAGACCTATATATGTTTTGTTAGACTTACATCTAAGTATTTCATTTTTTGAGTGATTGTAATTGGTATTGTATTTCTAAATGTCAGTTTAAAGAAATACTTCAAGTCTCTGTATGTTTATTATGTACCTGCAACCCTGTTAAACGACCATTATTTTGCATTGTTCCCCTGTGGAAAATAAGCTTAAGAATTCTGTACACTTGCACCAGTGGGTTAACAAGGCTTAGGGCAGAAAGCCACTATGGGGCAAAAGTGCCCAAGGTTAGTCACTAAGTAAAACAAGGCTTAGGGAGAAAAGCCACCTCCACAGGACAGAAGTCTCTGAGAATAGAGGGACAAAGCCACTATGGGGCAAAAGTGCCCAAGGTTAGCTAGTAGAAAGGTGCCTTGTTAGCCTGGAGGCAGCGCGCTCCAGCAATCTTACACTTTGGAGAGAACAGCTACGTGGCTGTATCGCCCACAGAGAAACACTGTCCATCTGGCATCTGGTGCCAATATATCACTGTGCTTTAATCTCAACTTCTACCGTCACTTGCCCCCCAAACCCTTTGCTTCTTACAAATTAATGGTCACTATCTTATTGTTTGTTTCTGCACATTCACCATGTATGTAAAACCTTGAGAGATCAATACATACAGAGGCAAAACCCCTGTTTGGGGCTCTTGTCTCCTCCTGGACATTAGCTTCTCTCATATTCAATTCTGCATCCAATCTCTTGCTGGACAAGAGAGAGCTCCAGATTCAAAGTCTGCAACATTCCCCTGTATCATTTTTCTCTTGCTGCCTTCAAGATTTTTTCATCTTCATCTTTTAGTAGTTTGATGATATGAACCTCAGTAGAGTTTGTGTTTACCCTACTTGGGGTTAAGCTTCTTGGATCTGTAAATTAACATTTTCCACCAAATTTGGGAAGTTTCTGGCCATTAGTTCTTTAAATGCACCCCCGCCCCCTTCTTTGAGAGAGAGAGAGCAAGCACGCAAGCGCGCGCACGTGCATGCACCTGAGCATGGGAAGGGCAGAGAGAGACAGACTCTTAAGCAGGCTCCACGCCCAGTATGGAGCCTGATGCAGGGGCTTGATCTCACAACCCTGGGATCATGACCTGACCCGAAATCAAGAGTTGGATGCTTAACCAACTGAGCCACCCAGGCACCCCTCTTTAAATACTCTCTTTCTCTCTCTTTAGGACCCCAACTACATTTTGAGCTGCTTGATATTGTTTTATACTTAAATACCCTGCATTTTTTCCAGTCTTTATTCTTCAACTGACTAATTTCTTTTTAAAAAAAAAATTTTTTTTTAAACATTTATTTAGAGAGACAGAGAGAGACAGAGCATGTG